ACCTCTCATCCGGACGGATATCAGGTTTCCGTCGATGCCCCTCTTGGCTCTTCGGACCATTGTCTGATCCGGAGTGTGGTGCCACTCACGCTCCCCTCGCGGTTGCGTTCTGCAGGTTGCCGCCGTGTTTGGCATTACAGGTCGGCGGATTGGGACGGAATGCGGTCTTTCTTTGCTTCCTACCCATGGGGGCGGGTTTGCTTCTCGCCGGATGATCCCAGCGCTGTTGCTGACTCTGTCACTGATGTAGTACTACAGGGAATGGAACTATTTATTCCATCATCTGTGGTACCCATCGGAGGCAGATCTCAGCCTTGGTTTGGTCGCTCCTGTAAGACTGCATTACGCAGTAAGCAGGAGTGTTATCAAGCCTGGGCTGCGGCTTCGGTGACTCGGGATGTAAACACCAGCACACTCAAAAAGAAGTATAACTTCGCCTCCAGGTCCTTCAAAAGAGTTATTGCCAAGGCAAAGTCAGAGCACATAGGCAGAATTGGCGAGAAACTAGTTCGCCTTCCTTCGGGAACCCGTGCATTCTGGTCTCTCGCCAAGGCTGTCCAAGGGAATTTCTGTAAGCCATCACTACCATCTCTGCACAGGGAGGACGACTCACTGGCCCACGACGCAAAAGAGAAGGCCGACTTTTTAGGCTCCCTTTTTGCGTCCAACTCGACTGTTGATGACGGGGGGAACACACCGCCGACCATCCCGCGGTGTGAGTGCTCCATGCCGGATGTGCGATTCTCACAGCGCTCGGTTCGCAGAGCACTCCTCTCCCTTGACATCCACACGTCGAGTGGGCCTGACGGAATCCCCCCAATCGTGTTGAGGACGTGTGCTCCGGAGTAGGCACCGCTTCTAACGCGTCTTTTCCGGTACTCCTACTCCCTAGGCGTAGTCCCGAAATCATGGAAGACAGCTTTTGTGCACCCGATCCCTAAAAAAGGCGACCGCTCAGATCCGTCCAACTACAGGCCTATCGCCATCACCCCCTTGTTCTCCAAAATAATGGAATCCGTTGTAAACTGCCACCTCATGCGGTACCTTGAGGATCACCAGCTGATTAGTGACCGCCAGTACGGTTTTCGTCGGGGTCGATCAGCTGGTGATCTTCTGGTCTACTTAACTCATAGATGGGCGTTGGCAGTAGAGTCCAAGGGGGAGGCATTGGCCGTTAGTTTGGACATTGCGAAGGCCTTCGATCGGGTTTGGCACAAAGCGCTTCTTTCGAAGCTCCCTTCCTATGGGCTTCCCGAGAAATTATGCAATTGGATCACCAGCTTTCTTGCAGATCGGAGCATCAAGGTCGTTGTAGACGGTGCATGCTCCGACTACAAGCCTATTAACGCTGGTGGTCCACAAGGCTGCGTGCTATCACCAACGCTGTTTCTTCTGCATATCAATGATATGTTGCAAGCTGGTAGCATTCATTGCTATGCAGATGACAGCACTGGTGATGCTCTATACACCGGCCGTGCCAATATTTCTCGGGAAAACGTCACCGAGTAGGTACCGGAACAAACTTGTGTCTGAAGTCGAGTCTTTGCTGGACAAAGTCTCGGATTGGGGGCGACTAAATCTAGTCCAGTTTAATCCTCAGAAGACACAAGTTTGCGCGTTTACCGCTAAAAAGAACCCCTTTGTCGTATCTCCTCAGTTTCAAGGTACTCCCCTTGTTGCCTCAGCCAGTATCGGAATCCTCGGCGTCGACGTATCGAGTAGCGTGCAGTTTCGTGGTCACTTGGAAGAGAAGGCCAAATTGGCCTCTAAAAAGCTTGGCGTGCTCAGCAGAGCGGGACAGTATTTCATGCCGGCTCAACGCCTGCAACTTTACAAGGCGCAGGTTCGGCCTCACATGGAATACTGTTCCCATCTCTGGGCTGGGGCTCCCCAGTGCCAGCTTCTTCCACTTGACCGCATCCAGCGCAGAGCGGCTCGAATCGTCGACGACCGAGTCCTTTCCGATCGGCTCGACTCATTGGCACTGCGAAGAGATGTTGCATCTCTTAGCATTTTCTTTCGCATTTACCATGGGGAGTGCTCTGAGGAATTGTTCGGATTAATCCCAGCCGCCAAATTTCACGAACGCACATCGCGGCAGAACTCCCGATACCATCCACATCATCTGGATGATTGGCGGTCCACCACTGTGCGATTTAGAAGATGTTTTCTTCCTCGCACAACTTCCTTGTGGAATAGTTTACCACCAGCGATTTTTCCGGACCGATACGACTTAGGGACCTTCAAGAAAAGAGCCTACTCCTTTTTAAAAGGCCGGCAACGCATCTGCAATTCCCCTGGTGTTGCGGTTGTTCATGGGCGGCGGTAGTCACTTACCATCAGGTGAGCCGCATGCTCGTTTGTCCCCTCTCCTATATAAAAAAAAAAACACGGCTCTTACAAGCTTACAGCTTCATCGGACTCACGGACAATAATTTCTTTAGTGAGTCTAAATACAATTTACCGGCGAAAAATCTTAATACCGCAATTCAGAAAAGGTTGTAATTTGTACAACGCCATCTATTACGTTATTTGTGAGAAAACATCCTTTTTTTTAATTTAAGGAAAACATATAATTTGAGAACATATTTTTTTTTTTACTGTTTTAAGTATAAATATATTATAATAGAACGTTTTTTTTACACACGAATCTTTTTATTACTATTTCTGAGATTTTATGGCACCATTAAACAAATTCGAACCTACATTCCAAAATAATAATCATAACTTTCGATAGAATTAACCAATTTTAATAAAACAAAGATTAAATGAACTCGATAATACGCTTTATGATTTTTTTAAGGATATAATTGAAAAAAAAAAATGTTTACTCAAAACGTCATGCGTTCATAAACAAACAGACAGATCGTCAGACAGTGGAATTCTAAAAATATAAAAATGTACATGATTTTCAGTCCCGATAATGATTTTAGTCACAAATTAATATACTATACAATGTACAGAAACAGTCACAACATTCTATCACCATTTTTATTATATGTATATGTAATTTTTTAAAGAGAGATGGCGCTGTTAACATCAATTCTAAAAATAAGAGATTAATTGACGCGATTGATACAGTAAAAAAACAAAAGAACTTATAAATCAGTGCCTGCTTTGTAAGCAAAAATGAAAGTTTGATCCTCGCCGAAAAACGAAATTGTTAATAGCTCTTTTAAAATTTGATTTACCACATAAGAGAGTACTCGGCGGTAAAAAATTAATGAGATTGTCTACACGCACTAGGGCAGCGTGTTATACAAAGATTGGAAGCAAGTATGAAACTCATCTACAGGAAAAAACCTTAACCTGTCTTTTTGTATCTCATTTGTGCCACACCACCATCTATCGATGAAATTGGTTAACTATTGTACTTTAGACATAGATAATAAGGTTAATATATTTTTGTATATATTTATTACGTTCTTTATGTAATACTTTTGTTTACTGCGTTTTAGATATAATTATATCATTATTGAGCATTATTTTACATCATTTAATTATGATTTGTAATATGATATTAATTTAAAATGTACTTGAAGACTCAATCAACGCCACCATTGAACAAATTTGTACCTATACTTAGTACCCATACTTCAGAATATTTGTCATAACTTTTGATGGAATGAACTGATTTTAATGAAATAAAGATTAAATGTAACCCGAAGATACACTTAATAATTTCCTTAACGATTCTTATGATATAAATTAGTATTTTATACGTGATACGTTAACAAACAAACAGACAGACAGACAGAAAAATCTAAAAATGGTAGAAATGTATTTAATTACGTATTTTTAGTACCGCTCAATCACTTTTATTACAAAAATGTAAAATGTACAGACATCTGCTATTTACATTTTTATTATATGTATATATATATGTATATATTTATATAAACGATAATTTCCTAATATACTTGACACTCGTAAAAGTAGAAAGATACAACTATTACCGAAGAACAAAAAACTTTCAATAAGTAGTTACTGATCGTACGAGTCAATCGGCACAAAAAAAAAAAACTCAATTGTTTACAGTTATCAGTCACTATACGTAAACATATCAGGAAATTTCTAAATATTAAGCAATTTTCGAATACGGTATATCAACGTAAAATGAACGTCACGTAATATCAATGTTGGCATTTGGATAGCAACATTTTTTATTTTTTTATTTTATAGGATAAGGGTGACAAACGAGCACACAGTCCACCTGATGATAAGTGGTTGCTGCGGCCCATAGAAATCTACATCTATCCTCTATTACAAATCAAAATGTAGATGCGTTGTCACCCGTGAGGCTAAGATGGAATGCCTTATTTCCAGTAAAAAGGGCCTCCGGCCACCTGCACTCACCCAGCGAAACGCAGAGGTAAACCTCTACTTCACGCTGGTTTTCTGTGAGGTCGTGGTACCACCCCGATTTGAGCCGGCTCATCCGTGCGACAGCAAAAGCTGCCACGTGACTCTACCACTGTTAACAGAAACTTTTTTATTCAATATAGATTATAAATAATACTTACTGAAAGTCACTCTTTTGTTTAATTACCACTGGTTCGAAAAAAACCTCTTTCCTGGGAAGAACTAGCAAGAAACCCTGCGGGACTTTTTTTTAAACATATTTCAATTTCAATTTTAATAATAATTTTGTTTGTAAAATTTTTAAATGAATTTTAATAGAACCAGCATGGTGGCGATCACCTCAATCCCAGAGGTTGTTCTTTGATATTAGAATAACCCTTTTTGTACAAATTTTCTTTAATAAAACATTTAACTTGTTTATTGCCAAACTTTGTACATTTTCTCGGATTTTGTTGTAAAAGCGTATACATTGCCCCATATATGAATTACTAATTCTGTGGAGTCTAGTAACTGGTATTTATAAGCTTATGTTTGTTCCTAGTGTTTAAAGTATGGACATCTTTATTCTTATTAAAGCTATTTATGTTTTAATGTTATGTACTTTGCTACTTTAACTAACAAATTTCGTATGTTTTCAGCATCCAATTAATTCCCGCCTTACCTTAAGTTTCCATTTACCTCCCTCGCCATTCCATAATAATATATTAAATATAATTATTTTATATGAATTTGCATATAATTCATTCCAAATATTATTTTAACTATATAAAGATCGTTTATATATTTTAAATTTAGCTAAGCAAATTACCAGAGGTAATTACATGCTTTGAATTTGTTGATATTTTAATTTTTTTTTAATTTGATTAATTTAAAAATACGTTTATATTTACTTGTATTACCTTGTAATTCCTTTTCCTGAATCTGAAACTGAAAACTTTACACATCCCAACAACTCCCGCCATCCTCATCACAACTCGTCGGTACTTCATCACACACGATGCTATGACCCTGTGACGCACTCACGATGAGCTCGTCCCCAGCAGTGGAGCCGTCGTCACCCTCCACCACGACTCCCTCGTCACCGGCGCTGAAGCCTGGTGAATACGGACAGTTTAATACTTCGACACCGAACTACGTGAATAAGGTAATTATACTATAATAATGTCCTCCACACTGAATTTCGGTCACGGCGGTCAGTCTCAACGGAGACTAGCCATCGGCGCAGGACAAGATTATAGTGCCGAGTGTATACGCAAGCATAGGTGCACTCTCTACTGCCTCACTCTCATAGTCCGATGCGACCGAAAAGAGATCAGGCGAATTACCAACGGCTTCATTTGCTTTCCGAGGCACGGAGGTGAAACGACGTAAACGTCCCGACTCTGGGCTGTTACTGTTAATTTCTTCTTTTTTTTTATAAAATAAGGATGACAAGCGAGCACACAGTCCTCCTCATGGCAAGTGGTTGCTGTGGCCTATAGACATCTACATCTATCCTTGATTACGAATCAAAATGCAGATGCGTTGTTACCCGTGAGGACTAAGATAGAATGCCTCATTTCCAGTAAAATAGTTCTCCGGTTCTCTACACTCACCATACGAGTCAAGAACCGATTTTTGTCGACTCGTAATTCGAACCCTGGACCACACAATCAGCAGTCGCGCTTACTGTCACTAGACTAACGAGGCATTCTATATGTGGTATGGGTGCAGCATGAATGGCTCGCCGTGTCGTGGCGGAGTAAGATAATCCACTACAACATATCCCGTGGCCGGCGACGGTCGGCGTAGTGGCGACGACAAAAACTGAAACAAGAGATGGACAGCATTCATCTTCTGATAACAACTTACACTACAATAATACAATATGGAAGGAGTACTTCAACAAGTGGTCACCTTCAAGAAAAGAGCTTACACGTTTCTAAAAGGCCGGCAACGCATCTGCATTTCCCCTGGTGTTGCGGTAGTTCATGGGCGGCGGTAGTCACTCACCATCAGGTGAGCCGCATGCTCGTTTGCCCCATCTTCTATAAAAAAAAAAACTAGAAAAAGGAATATAAAGCCATACACTGTCAGCCTCTTCACGAATACTAGCTTAAGTAGGATATTAGCTACTATTATTCATTGACTCAGATTTGGACACATTCCATGTAAGAAATTTGTATTCCTAATGAAGAAAACAACTTCGCCCAATTGTGAAGACTGTAGAGTTATAGAAAACCTACACCATATATTGATGGAATGTGCTCGATTTGAGTTTGTTAGAAGTAATTTAATAAGGGTCTTGAATTTGAACAGAACTGAAGCAGGTACATTTCATAATATTCTATCCCAACCAAATGGCGACGATGCGAAAGTTCTGTTCGAATCCATGGCCCACGTAGTATAATAAGTATTAACTAACATTATATGAGTAAGTGATGTATGTTAGTGTATGATGGGACTGACATACGCTAAGCGGTAAATGTCCCTTAAATTATGTAGAATAAAAAAATAAATACAATAACACAATAACTAAAAACTGCGGTAGTCAAGCCAAGGCAAGCGTGCCAAGCATGGCAACAACTAGGCAAATATGAGGTTAATATATATAAAAGCATATGTTCAGCCGTGGACTTTTGGCTGTAATGAATTGATGAATGAATGAATCCATTCGACCGGGGAAAGTCCACGCTCTTCTTAGGGTTATATATTATTCATAATATATTCATTAATATTATAATAACCCTTGAATAAAACAATTTTTTACGTGGTAGAGTCACGCCGCAGCTATATTAGTAGTATAGTTTTAGCACGAATGGGTCGGCTCGACTGGGGAAGGACCACGCTCTCACAGAATACCTGCGTAAAATAGCAGCTTAACACTGCCGTGTTTCGTATGGTGAGTGTAGAGAATCGGAGATCCTTTTTACTGGAAAAGAAGTATTCCATCTTAGTCCTCACGGGTGACAACGCATCTACATTTTGATTATTTATTGAGGATAGATGTGGATGTCTATGGGTCACAGCAGTCACTTATCATCAGGTGGTAACCACCCACCATTTTTAACAGTGGTAGAGCCACGCGGCAGCTTTTGCTGTCGCACGGATGGGCCGGCTCGAACCGGGGTGGTACCACGACCTCACAGAAAACCAGCGTGAAGTAGAGGTTTACCTCTGCGTTTCGCTTGGTGAGTGCAGGTGGCCGAAGGCCCTTTTTACTGGAAATGAGGCATTCCATCCTAGTCCTCACGGGTGACAACGCATCTACATTTTGATTTGTAATAGAGGATAGATGTAGATGTCTATGGGCCGCAGCAACCACTTATTATCAGGTGGACTGTGTGCTCGTTTGTCACCCTTATACTATAAAAAAAAGGTGGGCTGTGAGCTCGTTTGTCACCCTATCCTATAAAAATATTACGGATATTATCGCTTTTAAATTGTTTTAATTCCCAACGTTGTGATTTATAGCATGCACTTTTTACGTGGTAGAACCACGTTGCAGCTATGTTATGGTTGTAGCACGAATGGGTCGGCTCGACCGGGAAAGGGCCACGCTCTCACAGAATACCAGAGTAAAATAGCAGCTAAATGCTACTGTGTTTCGTATGGTGAGTGTAGAGAACCAGAGACCCATTTATACTGGAAAAGGGGCAGTCTATCTTAGCCCTCACTGGTGACAACGCATCTGAATTTTGATTCTTAATTGTGGATTAATGTAGATAGATGTTCATGGGTCTCAGCATCCGCTTACCATCAGGTGGATTGTGTGCTCGTTTGTCACCCTTATTTTATATAAAAAATGCTTGCACGTCAGGAATTAAAATAATAAAGGAAATTCAATCGCAATAATTTCCACGCGGACGAATTCGCTGGGAACAGCTAGTTATTAATACAAGGCCATCAAACGGGCACAGTCCACGTGATGGTAAGTGGATACTGTGACTCACAAGCACCTATATCTATCCTCAATAAAGAAACAAATTGCAGACGCGTTGTCACCCCTGAGGAATAAGGTGGAATGCCTCGTTGCCAAAAAAAGAGTCTCTTGTTCGCATCTATAATATGAACCACAACAGTGTTAGCCATCATTACAGCCTATCAGATTCCACTGCTGAACATAGGCCTTCTCAAAGTTTGCCTCATGAGGGGTATATTTGCCATAGTTGCCACGCTTGGGAAGCGGGTTGACAACCGCATTATTATTTTCTTGTTGTTATTAGGAAGACTGCTGCTGTCAATCTCCTGGTTTGTTTCCCTCCGTCGCCTCTTACGTTACCCACGTGACGATATGGGATATTGGATATTCTTACACCATCCCTACACAACAGTATCATACTATATTACGCTAGTATTCCGTGAAAATATATCATGTTCAAAATATAATATACGCCCAAAAAATGTCCGTTAAAAACTCCTGGTAAGCTTAAAATGCTTGTGTTAGTTGTGGTTCACTACAGGAGTCGAATGGCGGATTCGAACCCACGATCTCTGAGTTCGCGATCCACAACCTACCATTAGGCTACTGTTGCTCATAACTTTGAAACTGGACTTTGTACTGAGTTATTTTGCAATATACGTCCAAAATTGAAAAGAAGATGGTGAAGAAAAATTAATGAAAGAAAAATCTCTGAAATTCTGTTTTTTATCTTTTAAGGCCAGAATGTGCGGTAATGCATTATTTTAACTGATTGCCATTCATAAATGTCTAACGCCTACTATTTTACTACGCACACACATTAGTAAGGGTTGCTCGGTCGGCAAGGACGTTGTGAATTGAATCACACACAGAGGAGCGCACACACGCGTAGTTGTTGCCTATAAATCATATTTAATTTGGGATAATTTCAAATAAAAGTAGAAGCATTATTTTTAACTATTTTCAAAAATTACACTAACTGTATATCGTTATTTATATATTTGAACTTAAATATAAATTATGGATACTCTGAAAAATAAATATGTTTATTTGTAAAGTTCATAATATATTGTTTTCAGAAGCAGTACCATCCCCCATTGAACGTCGTACTACCAGCCACTGCCACTGCGCCAGCAACGCCACCCACCTACGGTAAATAAACGTAGGATAGGATTTCTTATAATCAAGATTTTTTTTTTATAAATGAAGTGCATTGTGAAACCTAAAGTTGAACACTTAAATGAAGCTAGTGTTTACCCCCCGTGAACATGGGTGCTATAAAGTACTCACAACGCCAGCAATATAAAATAAGTTATTATATGCTATAAAATCCGTAAAAACTAGTTTCATTTAAATGTGTAGTATTCACGTAAACATAAGAAATCATTACATACTGGTCGTTTGTCAACTTACGAGAAAATTAAAAATTTTGTACAACCAACTTCAATTTAAATTACTAAGAATAACTCAAAAAATATTGGTCAGACCTTGATTAAATTTATATAGGACCACATGAGAAGCACCAGATTTCAAATAAAAAAAGAATCATCGAAATCGGTTTACCGAGAAAAAAGTTATGAGGTAACATAAAAAACCCATACAGTCGAATTGAGTATCTCGTCATTTTTAAAGTCAGTTGCAATTTTCAGCAGTATTAAGTAATTTTTTTTAATTTTTAAATTTATTAATAAATTTAAAGAAATACAGTTCACTGGATTGGGTAAGGTAGCTACTGCAGCCCATAGAAATCTTTTCCAACTTCTAACAAAGGAAGCAACAGATGCGTTGTCACTTCTGAGGAATGAGATGGAATGCCTCACACTAGGTGGTAGGTAGGTCTTTTTTTATAGGATAGGGTGACAAATGAGCACACGGTCCACCTGATGGTAAGTGGTTGCTGTGACCCATAGACATCCACATCTATCCTCAATAAAGATGCAGATGCGTTGTTACTCGTGAGGACTAAGATGGAATGCCTCTTTTCCAGTATAAATCGTCTGCGGTTCTCTACACTCACCATACGAAACACAGCAGCGTGAAGCTGTTAGTTTACGCTGGTATTGTGTGAGAGTGTGGTCCTTCCCCGGTGGAGCCGACCCATTCGTGCTACAACTATACTACTAATATAGCTGCAGCATGGCTCTATCACGTAAAAAGGTCTCTTTTACACCTTCCTGCCTGTTTATACCGCCGAATAGCAGTGCTTGCAATTTCGTATTCCTATCTGCAGGGTATAGAGAGACAGTATATTAACAGGCTGAAAGCTGTAAGGCATTCCAACTTAGTCCTCAAAAGTGACAACGTATCTGTTTGAACCTTTCTTTGTTTGAAGTTAGCTGTAGGTTTCCATGGGCTTCAGCTACTTGCCATCAGTTAGTCTGTACGTTCTAAGAGTAAGACCTGAAGGGAATTTGGACAGAATTGTGACGTGTATAGAAAGGGAATCTACGATAATCGCAAGCCAAAAACGCAACAGCAGAACCCAAGTAAAAAACTGGAACAATGTCGTTAAGAGAAGCTCACCCATAGAAAATAATTGTTACTGTTTGGTGGTCACTTCATCGTGTAACCCAAAGCGGGGTAGCACTACGCTCTTGCAGAATACCAGCGTAAAATAGCAGCTTAGTGCTGCTGTGTTTGGTATGGTGAGGGTAGAGAACCGGACACACCCTTTCTACTGGAAACGAGGCATTCCATCTTAGTGCCAAGAGGTGGACAACACATCTGCATTTTAATTCTTAATCGAGGATAAATGTAGATGTGTATGGGCCACAGCATCCATTTACCATTAGGTGGACTGTGTGCTCGTTTGTCACACATATTCTATAAAAGTACAACCCCGATTCGTCAATCGATCTTCGTCATTATTGCTCCATGATGACGCAATACCTTACACTGCTCGACAAACCGTATTAACATTACAAGTCATCCTTCCTCAGCCAGATATAGCCCCAATCAATTACGACTTTTTCCGCAATTTGGACAATTTCCTGTAAGGAAAAAAATCAAATTCAAATTTATTTTTATTCGTGAATAAGATGGAATAGATCTTTATCTATACATATAATAAAACTGTAAATAGCAGATGTCTGTACATTTTATAATTTTGTAATAAAAGTGATTGAGGGGTACTAAAAATAAGTAATTAAATACATTTCTACCATTTTTAGAATTTTCTGTCTGTCTGTCTTTCTGTCTGTCTGTCTGTTTGTTTGTTAACGTATCACGTTTAAAGTACTAATTTATATCATAAGAATTGTTAAGGAAATTCTAAAGTGTACCTTCGGGTTACATTTAGTCTTTATTTCATTAAAATCGGTTCATGCCATCAAAAGTTATGATAAATATTCTGAAGTATGGGTAGGGAATTTACTCAACGGTGGCTATGTTTGAGTCATCAAGTTGATGTTAGCAGCGCCATCTCTCTTTAATTAAATATATACATATAATAAAAATGATGATAACATGTTGTGTCTCTTTCTGTACATTGTATATATATTTTGGTGACTAAAATCATTATGGGGAACTAAAAATAATTAAATAAGTACATTTTTATAATTTTTAGAATTATCTGTCTGTCTGTTTGTCTGTTTTTATATGAAGGCATCACGTCTAAAGTAAACATCTTTTTTTTTTCAAAGAAATCGTTAAGAAAACCATAAAGCGTATCTTCAAGTTACATTTAACCTTTGTTTTATTAAAATTGGTTAATTCTATCGAAAGTAATGATTATTATTTTAAAATGTAGGTTCGAATTTGTTCAATGGCGCCATAAAAATCTCAGAAATAGTAATAAAAAGATTTGTGTGTAAAAAAACGTTCCATAATAATTAATATATTTATACTTAAAACATAAAAAGAGATTTAAAAAAGGATGTTTTCTCACACAAAGGACGTAATAGATGGAGTTGTACAAATTACAAACTTTTCTGATTTACTGTGTTGAGATTTTTCTCCGATGAATCGTATTGAGACTTACTGAAGAAATTTGTATCTATCGAAGCCATACAACGGAACCCGAACAAAAATAACAAAATTGCAACGAAATGTCGTGATATTGTATTTATAATATACGCAAAATCAGTACTGCCATTTTAGCGCTTTGGGAACTAGATTTAGCGCTTTTTTGGAATGTATAGCGTGCATTTCGAAATTTTAGCACCTAGCACTTAATCCAGCGCTTTTTGGTGTATTTAGCACACATTTCAAAATTGTAGCGACTAGCGGGTTATCAACTCTTTTATAGCAGCACTGTTAGTCCACATTACCGATAATAATAATAATGACCTTTATTATTTTTTTCCACAAATAGTGCATTGCAGTTTATCTTTTTCAAACATATTTTTTCCACAAAACAAAGACCATGGGAAACGAGTCCAAACTAGGATACCCTGTGCTATGGATCTCTCGGCTTCCCCTTTAGGATTAAAGTTTTCGTTCATGGTTTTGGCAACGCATTTATTTTGTTTTAGTCAGTTGTTTAGAGCACAGCTAAGTTAAAAGTTACTTAGAGTAGTACTAACTACTGTTGACAGCAATTGCCATAATTATAAGTCGATGTCCTGCGAAGTATTGATACATCAAAAAATATTGCCAGAAAAAAACTTAATGTTGTTTTCTTTATTATGATTATATTTTCTTGAATTATAAATTATAATAAAAAACACAAACTTTGTTTGTAGTTAATTTAGCGCGAAATGTAGGGCTTTTTTAAAGCGCTGTTTTCATGAAATCTAGCGCTTTTTGTGTTGTCCTAGCGCTGAATGAGTTTTTTTGATCTGGCAGCACTGCCAAAAAACCCTCTATTAAGAAGTAACTTTCCTTTCAGTTTTAAGCGCGTTCAGTTCCCAGTTACAGTCAGCGTGTGTTATGCGATGACCGTAAATATAGCGCAAGGTCAAAATTTACGCGTTGTAAGAGTGGACCTCAGTACTGACTGTTTTGCACATGGCCAACTCTATGTTGCTTTTTCCCGCGTTAGTAGCCCCCGTAACCTTTTTTGTGTACACCCCATCTAAGTCTACTTCTAACGTCGTTTACACCGAAGCTCTATCATAAACTACTTAGAACTTTGATGATAATGATTTATTTGTTACCACTTATTGATACAGTAATGATATAAATCGTTTAATATTCTCTTACCTAAACGACAAATTCTTTATGTAAAATCTATATACGCGAGCTACGCCGCGGGCACAGCTAGTAATAAATAATTACGTTCTCTGCATTCAACCCTTAGACAAACAATTAAATTTACTACACTACTGCAATTATAATAAATTAATCTATTATATTATAATTATATTTGAAAACTTCTATTATATTGTATTGTTATTTAATTGTATAATGTTTTCTTTTACGTTGATTGTTTATTATTTAATAATCGTTAAATATTTCAGGATTACTCGTTATAAATGTCAAAACTTCATAAATTTACAGCGCGGGAAATGTAAAGACATTTCCTATTTATAAAATTTTTCAAATTGTGGTTTACAGCTTTCGGTCGGTATATTTGCAATAGCATGCACACTATTTAAATATATTTTTTCGCCTTTTAGCATTATCTCAAAAATTTACACCTTAGTGCACTGATGAAGATACGAAGCTGTGATAGACAGAGCGTAAGAAAATCAATTTAGTTTTTTTTTTTGCAAATGCTAGTATATTCTATATGAGTATCCCACATTAAGTCATTAACAATATTAAGATCTAAGAATTTTGTTACCTTGCTTTCACTAACGGTCCACACTATCTTCATCGCAATTAATGGCAAGAAAATCAAGAGTCCATTTTCGTTGGTAAAAAGTCATTATTTGAGTATTTTTTATATTTATTATCAAACTATTTTTTTAATGATTTCCTATATTTACGCGAACACTACACATTTTTAAATACAACTAACTTTACGGAATATAAAAATAAGTTAATATACGCGATAAAATCCGTAAAATTAGTTTTATTTAAAAATATATTTTTGTTATAGGATAAGGGTGACAAACGAGCACACAGTCCACCTGATGGTAAGTGGTCGCTGTGGCCCATAGACATCTACATCTATCTTCGATTAAGAGTCAAAATGCAGATGCGTTGTCACCCGTGAGGACTAAGATGGAATGCCTCGTTTCCAGTAAAAAGGGTCTCCGGTTCTCTACACTCACCATACGAAACACAGCAGCGTTAAGCTGCTATTTTACGCTGGTATTCTGTGAGAGCGTGGTCCTTCCCCGGTCGAGCTGACCCATTCGTGCTACAACCATAATAAGGCTGCAGCATGGCTCTACCACTTATAAAATTTGATTTAAGCCAGCAAATTGTATTATTCAAGTTGATATTAATTTCATTTTCATGATTATTTATGTCTATATATTAAGTAAGTACCTCAGAGCTGTCATCTGCAAATAGAGTCATAGGAAATTGTACGCTGTTACAAGTCTTTAATATATACTAAAAATAATAAAGGACCAAATACGCGTCCTTGGGAAACACCAAAATTTGAGGTGCGAGGACAAGACCAATAAATATATTCATATTTAGTCTTTGGACAAAACGGTGATACGAATAGGTGTATTTGAATCCTGTTTGTTAAATAGGATTTTATAATTCCTTGCATCTTATACCGTATTTATGTAATTTTCTAATTAACAAAACTTGTCTGACAAAATCAAAAGCCTTCGAAATATCCATATATAGGGCTGTCACTAGCAATTTTATGTCAATGTTTGCAAAAACTTGGTATAAAAATTCATAGATTGTCACATTAATAGATTTGTTTTTACGAAAGCCTCTCAGCAAAAATATTGAATTTTCAAAGTAATTTATAAGAATCTATATTCTTATAAATTACATAGTACATAGATTCTTATAAATGATTTTTTCTATAATTTTGGAAAATATAGAAATCATAGCAATCGGACGGTAACAAGATAAGCCTTCTTTGTGATCTTTTTAAACAGTGGTTTTACTAATGGATGTTTTAAGAACTACAGGAAATATCATCTTCAACACTCTGTGTTTATAATTTAAAAAAATGTCTTCCTAAAAAGCGGTACAAATTGCCTTCATAAACTTTGTAGTCTCGATTCTCAGAGTTCTATCGCAAAGGTATAAATGACCTTCCCTCGAGATATTAAAAATGTATATAATATAAGGAATTGGAATTGTTCGGATTAATCCCAGCCGCCAAATTTCACGAACGCACATCGCGGCAGAACTCCCGATACCATCCACACCATCTGGATGATTGGCGGTCCACCACTGTGCGATTTAGAAGATGTTTTCTTCCTCGCACGACCTCCTTGTGGAATCGATTACCATCAGCGATTTTTCCGGACCGATACGACTTAGGGACCTTCAAGAAAAGAGCGTACTCCTTTTTAAAAGGTCGGCAACGCATCTGCAATTCCCTCCCTGCTGTTGCAGTTGTTCATGGGCGGCGGTAGTCACTTACCATCAGGTGAGCCGCATGCTCGTTTGCCCCCTCTCCTATAAAAAAAAATAATAATAAGAGAATTAAATTGAAAATTTTACCGTACAAATATATATTTTCTTAGAAACAAAGTAAGTTGTTTAAATTATTCAATAAAAACGATCACAGCAGCGTGAAGCGACGCTGGTTGGCCACGTTTTCACGCCAACAATTCCAGTGTGAAATAGCAGCATAATACTGCTGTATCTCATATGGTGCTGCAGAGAACCAAAGAGACGCTTTTTGAGGCATGAGGCATTCTATCTCAATGCTCAGGGGTGATATCGCAGCTGCATTTTGATAGTTAATCGAGGATATTCGAGATTGATATCTATGGGGCACAGCATCCACTTAACATTTAGTTGACTATGTGTTCATTTACAATGCAAAATGCTAGCAGATTGTGCCAAATATCAAAGGGAAAGTGAGAATTTGGTGAAAAGCTTTAATATTAATTCAGGTGAAATAGGTTGATTTTTAAGTATTCTGGCGGAGGGAGCCACGCCACACTCAGAGGTGGCAAAGTCATTAATTTCTATATTCATATCACATTGATTCCCCCTTACTCACGATATGTAACAGGAACAAGGTAAGGATAAGCCTTTTTAAATAAAGAAAGATAATAATAATAAAAAAAAGGTAGTTTTTATGTTATCGTTCGTTCGCGTGCTTTATCAAATCAGAATTTTAAGTAACTTTAAAAAATATATCATAAGTTTTTTTCAATATGTCTAAAACAGTAAATAAAATAGACCAGAACAATTTACCTACTTGACTTATAAGAATTCGAGAGATCCTGGTCGAACCAAAATTAAGCCGTTTTTCTTGCAAAGTTATATTTTATGAAACCTTGTAAGTTTGTCACAAGATCTGATAAATTACAAAATAATCTTTCAGGACATGTAGAGTTCGCCAAAACGCATTGGGGCAGTAAGTAAGGTGGACTTATTCCTTGATGGATTCTTTCAAATTCTTTAAACTTTGTAAGATTGTTTTCACTTGATTGCTTTTTCCTTCAACAGGTGAGCCGACGTTGACGCCTCCGCCGAGATCCCCCGGGGCTGCGGTGGTGACTCCGGCCTCCGGTGACGGCCGAGGGCATCCGCCGGACGGCACTTCGTCTGACAAAGTAAGTTACCAACATACTGATTTCAAATACTTATCTTCACGCACAATCCCTGACGGGGTAGCCAGAGAGAACAGATCGCCAAGTGTCACGATCCTTACAAACCTCTTTCGCTTCTTTCAGATTCATTATCTTCTTCATGCATGCACGTCTAGGTATCCGAGTACTTTTGACCCTACCCTCTTCGAGCAATTTGCTCACATGGTCTTCGAAAGTTAGTCTCGGTCTACCTCGACACCTTTTAATATTAACTTTCGCGCTATATATTTTCTTCACCATTCGGTCTTCACTCATTCGCTCAACGTGCCCAAACCACCGAAGCACGCCCTTATCAATTTTTGTGATAAGGTCATCTTTCAAACCTGCCATATTGCGAATCTCTTCGTTTAGCTTTCGGTCGGCCATGGTAACGCCGCACATTTTACGAAGAGATCGCATCTCCACTGCATTCAACTTACTTTTATGCTTCTTCTGGCATACCCAGGTTTCGCTGCCATATAACAAAGTCGGTACCAACAATGCGTTATGTATTGCAAGGCGTGCACTCTTCGCTACGCCTTGCCTTTTGACTAACGCAGTCAGGGCACCATTGACTTTGTTCCCGGCAGCGACACGCCTGTCCACATCTAAATCACATCTTCCATCCCAGCTAAAAGCACTCTCCAAGTATACAATTTCATTTACCTGTTCTAGACATTCCTGATTTACCCATATTTCACACTTCGTTCTCTCTTCGTCCCTTTCAAATACCAGAACCTTAGTTTTATTAGCATTCAAACGGAGACCTTTAATTTCACATTCCTCTTTCATACACGTGACTAATGCCTGTAGTTCTGCCTCTGATGGTGCAATAAGCACTGCATCATCAGCATACAGCAGACAATTTACTTTAATGTCACCCAATTTCACACCCAAACAACTATCTTTCAGCTTCTGTAAACAGCTGTCGAGATACAGTATGAACAGCCAGGAAGACATGACACAACCCTGCTTTACGCCCGTTTGGACGTTAAACATGGGTGACAGGTCATGCCCTACCCGCACACAGGCTTTACAGTCACAGTAAAGAGACTGCACAGCCCTTACAAATAGAAATATAATTACCGTACAGCCTATTAGATTTCGCTGGTATTCGTTGGTGTCGATGGACGTTTAGGTTATTTGTGTATTCTGACACCGTATCATTTAGTAGATTAACAATCCTTTCTCCGTTCAAAGCCCCATCGATTAATACGGGTCCGATGATGTTGTCACCGTGAATAGCTGCCCAAACTTTTCCCGAAAATCTGTACTGTTGGGCTGACTCTCGCCAAACGCGCGAATTTTGGTTTTTGGGTGCAGATTGTGCTGGTTCCACATGCAGTTTCTGGTGAACGTGCTTTCCTCAGTTCAACAAATTTGGGAAAGAAAGTCACTGTCCTCTTCAATTTAATCGGTAACCACTGACAATAATTCACTCTTATTAATTTATCACGTATGTACTTTTCTAAACTTGAATGGGTGCCACTTTTCGCTCTTTAATATCCTATGGATGGTTCTGTGATGGACTTGAAATTGCCTAGCGCTCTCGTCGAAATATTGTATCACATTTTCAGTTAAACTGTATTGGATTTTGTCGTGTAGGCGGTCGATCAGGGCGTTGAGACCTAGGATCCCCTGGCCGGTTTTCGCGAATGCGCTTGAAGAGCTCCTACAACAGTGCGAGGAGGAGTAGGGTATTGTCTTGAATGGCCATATCTCTCGCGATATGTCCTTATCGCAAGGGCGGCATTTTGACGACATTCTCCGTAAATTAGGATCATATCCGCATATTCAGCTGCTGTGTAGTTCGGATGTGTATTTGCCTAAGTTTACACAAGCACTGATAACACAAATAAATGCGTCCGCATCGCAAGAGATATAAACATACCTCCTAGATTAGAAAACGAAAACAAAACAAAGCGTCTTTATCGCAGTACAATAACCCAATTACTATCCTAATTACACAAAAATTAATAAATAAAACAATAGGCAAGCGTCTTTTTCGCGGAAAAGTTCACAAACAAAAATATTAGTCGACGTAATTATGCGCATTACTGTGAAGAAGTGTGTCAAGGACACAGATTCGGCTTGCACTAGAAAAGCAAAAAATAATAATTTGATTTTGGTGCGGGGGGGAGGGAGGGAGGGGGGGGGCGTCGCTTGCGCCGCCCGCTCGCCGACAAAGGAATGTGTCTTTCCTTCAATAGTATTGCTTATTCGTTTTAATTCCAATGATGCGATCTTATAATCCGTGACCCCGTCAAATGACCGCTGCGCGTCAGTTCTCTAAGTACACGTTGCTCTAAGATGCTATTTTCTAAAATTTTAAATAAATCCGTAAATAATAACGTTTAATTGAAATATAATAATTTCTTCATGAAACGAAAATGTGAAAACGTATATGTGTGGTAAATTAAAGTCACCATTATTGCTGTACGTTGTATATAGATATATAAACATTTAGAAAGTCATAACTCTGTGTAGTATAAAATATCAACCAAGAAAGACAATAAAAATATATCCAGTGTTTATGGTTGTAGTCCTCAGAAACAGCGGCTGGAGTGTCGCGTACACCGAGTACGGCTCTCTCCCGCAAGGAGAGTTACAAAGCTCAGCGCCAGCATTACAGAAGAGAAAAGAAGAGAGCAGCGTCGGCGCTGTTACACTCCATCGAGGATCCGACTGTTGTGGTCCTCGCTGATTGGCTGAAGGTAAAACTAACTTTTTTTTTATGATTCTAACAGTTTCTAACTCTACACCTAAGGCCCGGTTTACATTTTGAGAAGTAACAAGTGCGAGTGAGATTGACAAGTAAACACTGTCAAGTGACAACTAGTAGTTGCTCACACATGTGGCAAGTGGATATGAATTAAGGTCTTTATTATGTGGAATTTCGAGCCGTATGGTATTTTTAGTACTCAAAATGGATGACCAACTGCGGCTTCGTGTAGTTTTTTTTTATAGGATAGGGTGACGAACGAGCAAACAATCCACCTGATTGTAAGTGGTTGCTGTGACCCATAGACATCTACATCAATCCTCTATAAAGAATCAAAATGCAGATGCGTTGTCACCCGTGAGGACTAAGATGGAATGCCTCTTGTCTAGTAAAAGGGGTCTCCGGTTCTCTACACTCACCATACGAAACACAGCAGTGTTAAGCTGCTATTTTACGCTGGTATTCTGTGAGAGCGTGGTCCTACCCTGCTCGAGGCGACCCATTCGTGCTACAACTATACTACTAATATAGCTGCAGCATGGCTCTACCACGTAGCAAATTAGTGATTAGATTAGTGTAGTTATCAGAGAAGTCATAAACATTGTTATGTGTAATAGCATAGCGGCGTCGCGAATTATTTTATTTTTAAAATTGGTCGATTTAATAACATGAGCACTGTTTCGGTAATCCCTGGACAAATTTAATGTTATCGTTCTCTAACCATTTGGCCATTGTTGAAACAATAGCGCAAACCAAACATAACTATTAAAATGCAAACCAAAATTATTCACCAACACGTGTATGTCGTGATGGATTGCTTAGAGCGGGGACGGTGGGCGAGCGAGGGGTAGCAGGGGTAGCGCGGGGCAAAGCCACTTGTCAAAGACACTTGTTACTATTAATTTCACACATCACTTTTCACTCGCACTTGTCGCTGCCTGTTCACAAGCACTAAGCACTTGTCACTTGCACTTGCCACTCGCACTTGTCACTTCTCAAATTGTAAACCGGGCCCAAGTTCCTATACTAAAATGATTCTCAGTCATCTTCAATGCACTTTCCTACATGGTGTAGTCATTAATCATCATGACAGCCTATCAAAGTCCACTGCTGGACATGGACCGCCATGATGATGCCTCGATTAGAGGTGAAACGTGTGTTATGTTATCGACAGTGGTTTTCTAGTAGTTGTGGTGTTGGGTTTAGGGGAATAAAACACGTAATTGTTAGTAGGAATGTAAGCATATAGATAGATGGATAACACTTTATTGTACGCCAAAAAATAACAAAAATATTAACGAAAAATGAGAAAAAGAAATGTGGTACAATGGGCGGTCTTATCGCTAAAAGCGATCTCTTCCAAACAACCTTTGGATGGACAGCATTGCAAGAAAAGCAATAAAAACGTGTATGGTTTGCTGACAAAATAACATTATTTTTATTAAAGCCATAAAATAAAAATATATAATGGTATATAAGTAACTACATAGATAAGATAAATACATATATACTTATTAATATATATTTATAAATATACAAATAAATATATATTTTTATAAATATAAATATATAAAAGTACAAATATATACTTTAAAACTATTACATATAACATAAAAGTGCCATACATATAAACAAATATTGTAACTAAATAAAGGAGAATAATTATATACAAATGAACTAGATAGAATCAAAGTTGAAAAAAGTAATCATGTACATGTTTCTTAAAAACCGGTAGGGATTGAGCGCGTCTTGCTGATAACGGCAAGTCATTCCATAATCGAACGGCTTGTGAACGATCTGTCCAAAAATTTGGTAGTGTGGGCTGGCATTTTTAATATCAAATTTTCTGATGATCTCAAATGTCTCAAATGTATAGGATTATAGGATTACTATTAAATTTTTATGTAGATTATTATATAAATAATTAATAGAATCAGGCGTTACTTTGCAGAAATCCATTATATAAATTTTTCTAAAAGCTTTTATATTATATAAATATCCTCTATATTTGCCTTTGCTGCTACGCTTTCATTTTGCGCCCAAAAGCAATTGATAAGGTCTACCCCCGTAAACGGGAGAGAGGTGGTGAATGCTTTAAGCATACCACGACAGCCGGTTGTCGTGGTTATGTGGGACTCACTGTGACTAACCTAACCTAACCACTCTAAGTGCCTACCCACTAAACACCACCTGTGAGACTGACATTGGATTATGAGGCCTTTCTGCCGAATCTTGCTGCTACGTTTGGAAGGTTAAATACACATACACATAGACATATAATTTTTTTATAGGATAAAGGTGACAACCGAGCACACAGTCCACCTGATGGTAAGTGGTTGCTGCGGCCCACAGACATCTACATCTACCCTCTATTACAAATCAAAATGCAGATGCGTTGTCATTGTCACTCGTGAGGACTAAGATGGAATGCCTCTTATCCAGTAAAAAGGGTCTCCGGTTCTCTACACTCACCGTACGAAACACAGCAGTGTTAAGCTGCTATTTTACGCTGGTATTCTGTAAACTGTCTGGTGAGAGCGTGGTCTTTCCCCGGTTGAGCCGACCCATTCGTGCTACAACCATACAACTAATATAGCTGCAGCATGGCTCTACCACGTATTTTTATATTTTCTCGTGTTTCTTCTGCCATACCCAACTTTTCTTACCATACATTAAAGTAAGGACTAACACAGCGTTGTAAATTGCCAATTGAAATTAAAAAACAATAGAGAAGATAGGTGAGCAAAGAATGCCGTAGGCGTGTAGGACGAAACGAGGCTTAGTTGAACGAGAGACGACCTGATATGACATGCAGGAATTCGATGGATTCAGGTGGTTCAGGACAGTGTTTTTTAGCATTCCTTTTTGTTTAGATTTGTAAAAGGCTGTAATGATGATGATAATTTTTTGGCAGGGGAAAATTTTTGAAAAGAAACCCTTTAGAACACCAAAATAACTGTCGAAATATTTTCGTGCCATATTCTGACTACCCACATTCACGGGCCCAGTTATTAACATTTTAGTGTTTATTTATTTCTTTTGTTATAGGTCCGAGGTTCACTAAAGTCATGGACAAAGCTGTGGTGTGTCCTGAAGCCTGGTCTTTTGTTATTGTACAAGAGTCCTAAGGCCAAGGTATGTTTATTATATTCATTAAACTTTTTCTCATTTTTAATAATAGTAAAAAAGTTGTGCGTTAATTGTGTACATACGTACGAAGTTAAACTTCTTTACGACATATAATTTTTTTTTATAGGATAAAGGGGACAACCGAGCACACAGTCCACCTGATGGTAAGTTGTTGCTGTGACCCATAGACACTCACATCTATCCTTAATAAAGACTCAAAATGCAGATGCGTTGTCACCCGTTAGGACTATGATGGAATGCCTCTTTTCCAGTAAAATGGGTCTCCGGTTCTCTACACTCACCATACGAAACACAATACTGCTAAGCTGCTATTTTACGCTGGTATTCTGTGAGAGCGTGGTCCTTCCCCGGTGGAGCCGACCCATTCGTGCTACAACTATACTACTAATATAGCTGCAGCATGGCTCTACCACGTAAAAATATAATTCATCATTATTTTATTACTCATGCATTCCCGGCGGCGAAACGTTACATGACATGACGTATTTTATAATACCGTTCAAAAAAACTCCACTAGGTCGATTGAGTGTAACTTTCACTTTAATAAATTTGCATAAAATATGGTACTAAATAAACAGGGGTTTTTTTTTTAATTCGACACACAGCTTTAGCTATTTTAATATATAGAATCCAGATTAAATTTAAGTCATGAGTACAATGAGACAATAGTACCATTGATGTTACCGTTACATTATTAAAAGTCCATTGCTGACAACAGGCTTGCCCAAACTAAAGACTACGTGATTGATAATAACCCCTGGGAACTAGGTGATGGCAACCACGCTGTTTCTAAATGTTTTCATACTTAATTGTATAAAATACTAGCGATTCGCCCCTGTTTCGCACGGGTGATTTCTAAATCTCGACAACAGCGCCACCTACCGGATCCAAAAGTCTAAACCATTTAAGGACCCATTCAAACACACACAAAAAATTTCTTTGAAATCGGTCGAGCCGTTTTTGAGTATTAGCGAGACTAACGTACAGCAATTCATTTTTAATTAACCTTTCAAGCGTCGCGTTTTGGCGATTAGATTGTTAAAGTTATAGACCCCGACAAAGAGAATAGTAATATTTAGAAGGGACCCCTTAGAACAATACATAACAATGTTCAGAACTTAGAGTACATATAAGCAAGGTATAGAGCCCTCGTATCGCTCAATGCCCATTGTGTATATGTATATAATGATGCCAAACGTAACCAGATGTTCTATAGATACTGATACATAGTTGAGACTGGTTGAATAGTGATGCGCCAAGATTGACGCCTATGCGTTATTGTACTTAATTATTAATTTGATTATGTTAGTATTTGTAAATATTAGGTAAGCGATTATTACAAGGTATGTTTTAGCTCAATAAAACATAGGTACGAATTTATGAAACGATGTTTATTAATCAAACACAAAAATCTAATCAATTTACTCCCCCTTAAAAACCATATTATACGGGGTTACTGGGAACTCGACAACTTCCTGGCAGGGCATGATAGGCGAGTGAAAATGCTACAAATTTGATTTTGACCCCCCCATATATATGGCCGAAAATGAACAGGTCTTGAGATATACGGATTTTAAAGGTTTTTCAATAATCACCCAGAATTTTGTATTAAGTTCTAAATAAAAATATAACATTTTTTTGCACCCTTTTCTTTATAGTTTATTTATTTTTTTGAAACTTCAACTAGGCGAATATAATCATAAAAAGTACAAAAGTGTTCACAATTAAAAATTATGCGTTTTAATAAAACCTCGAAAAAGGCTCTTAGGCATGCAACAAACGTAATACTTAACAAATTTATTAAACTAATACAAATAAGAAAAATATTAAACACATGCGTGAGTGTCGTGGAACACTAGGTTGGAACGAAGTTCCTTTCTTATTATATTATTATTGATTAACTAATACAAATAAATGGATTATTGGGGTCTAATAAAATTATGCGTCATTTAAAATAATATTTCTTTCATGGCAAGATAAGGAAAAATGCGAGGGAGATGGATATAATTCTATCTCGCTCTCACTATAGAAAGGGGGTCGTGACGGAAAAATCTTACACTTTTCTCGCATAGACCCTATCCGTCAAATTCGTACCGTGCGATAAGGAACTTCGTTTCAAAAACTAACCTATACGTGGTAGAGCCACACTGCAGCTATATTATTGTTATGAGCTTGGGGTTCGAGACAATTAAAAACTGCCGATTGAATTACCAAAATTGACACTTTAATTACACAACACTAATTACAATCTAAAATCACACTAATAATAAAACACAGTTCGCCGTTATTTCGCTTTGAAGTATTCTCTTGTATCGCCAATTCAATACTGCCCCGGTCGTGGTCTATACCGGCCTTATATAGGGCCTCAGATAGTTTCCAGAACCTTCTACTGTAGCGACATCTAGAATGTTCGAGTACATATCGGTCCCGAAATTTCTGGAAAGATCTCGACTCTCCTAGTTCTGCTACTCGACACTAGAGGGCGCTAGTGTAACTAGTGTTGCCATGTACAAGACATTAATAGTGGCGCGCAACACTTTCACTACTCGACACTAGAGGGCGCTAGTGTAACTAGCGTTGCCATGTACAAGACATTAATAGTGGCGCGCAACATTATGTTTGTAGCACGAATAGGTCGGCACGATCGGGGTAAGACCACGCTCTCACAGAATACCAGCGTCAAATAAAGGGTTTTTCAACAAGAACTTTGTTTTCTAAAACAAAATAAAACAAAGAGTTTAGATGAAGATGATTCAAATTTTTATTGTATTATGAACAGAAAAGTTTGGCAATTATGAATGAAAAATGATATCTGGCAAATGTCCACCACGACCACGCTGACAGATGTCGATTCTTTCATCAAAGTTTTTAATCACTTTTTGGCAAAATGGCGGGTCTATTTCGTTAATCACGTCACGGATTTTGAGTTTTAAGGCCGCGATCGATTCGATTGGCTCCGTATAGACTCTGTCCTTAACATAGCCCCACAAAAAATAAGCCAGTGGTGTTAAATCACACGATCTGGCTGGCCATTTAACAGCTGAATTTCGTGAAATTATGCGATCGGGAAATTTGATTTGCAATAAATTGATCGTTTCGTTGGCTGTGTGACATGTGGCACCGTCCTGTCGAAACCACATGTTTGTGATATCGATGACATCAATAATAGGCCAAAATTGAGATGTTAACATCTCGCGATAGCGTGATCCATTGACCGCTACCGCATTTCCAGCCTCATCTTCGAAAAAAAAAACGGCCCAATCACGCCTCCAGACCACATAGCGCACCATACAGTGACACGTTAAGCATGCAAAGGCTTCTCAATAATCGCTTTAGGATTTTCAGAAGCCCAAATGCGGCAATTTTGCTTGTTGACGTACCCTGACAAGTGAAAATGGGCTTCGTCTGAAAAAAATATTTTTTCAGAAAAACCAGCGGGCTGTTCCTGAATGAATTGAGCGAATCTACGGCGATGTGAATGGTCGGTCAGTTTTAATTCCTGCACCAGTTGAACCTTGTAAGGCTTCAAAGCCAAATCCTTACGCAAAATTCACCATGTGGTGGTTTTGGATAACCCCAATTGTTGAGAATGTCGAGGAATTGACAAATTTGGATCTTCTTCAACACTGTGGCTCACGGCTGCGATGTTTTCCGTTGAACGACCCGGTCGAACACGCGTTGGTGTTGGCGCATTTTGTACCGAGCCTGTCGATTCAAATTTAGCGACCAAATTCTTAATAACGGTCTCAGAAGGACGATTATGTTGTCCGAAAATATCACGAATTTTACGAAACGTAACTTTAACAGAACTACCATTTTCATAGTAGATTTTAATTATTTTAATGCGATTTTCGAGCGAAATTGAATTCATTGTAGCAATTGCCAAAGCATCTACTACGAATAGGTTAAAAACTAAATGTCAAAACTGTCATGTTTTTGGTGTTGCCCCAATTGAAAAACAAAGTTCTTGTTGAAAAACCCTCTAGTAGATTAATACTGCTGTGTTTCGTATGGTGAGTGTAGAGAACCGGAGACCCTTTTACTGGAAACGAGGCATTCCATCTTAGTCTTCACGGCCGACAACGCATCTGCATTTTGATTCGTAATCGAGGATAGATGTAGATGTCTATTGGCCAGCAACCACTTACCATGAGATGGACTGTGTGCTAAGACACAAACGAAGTTTTAAAACAAAAAAAAACTCCAGGACAAGATGTCTCACTGCCTGTAGTTATTCTTGCTATCTATATCCTACAGACTGCAACACAATATGCAAGCCACTGCTATATGGCGGCAGAAATAGATAAGAAGACCTACCTAGACTTCTTCTTCTTGTTTCTTTCTAGACTAAAAATGTAAATACATTATTACTTCAACAGAGCAGTCACTGGGTGGGCACGGTATTGCTCACATCCTGCCGGGTTATTGAGAGACCCAGCAAGAAGGACGGCTTCTGTTTCAAGCTCTATCATCCTCTGGAGCAGAGCATCTGGGCACCAAGGGGACCCCATAACGAGACTATAGGTAATACTTTTTGACCTCTTCTTTCCATAATTTTGCCGTCATCGTCATCACACCTCATCAAAAGTCTACTGCAGGACATAGGCCTCCCCCAATGAACGTCAGAAAGCACGGACCTGAGCCACTTTCATCCATTGACTGCCTGCATCTCTTACTAGTTACCAAGGGGAGGGGGGGGGGGGGGAGCGCCCTACAATTTGCTAAATTATGTATGTATTAATGTGATTCAAAAAAGGTTCTCGAATGGCAGCCTCGTACCTTCAGGCGAAGTGTAGGGCGTCCCCCCACGAGATGGAGTGACGACCTGGTAAGAAATAGAGGAAGTCGATGGATGCAGGCTCAGAACCGTGCTTTGTGGCATTCTTTGGGGGAGGCCTATGTTCAGCAGTGGACTTGTGAAGGGCTGTAATGATGATGATGATGATTTAACTAAGGCCTTTGACGCATTTTCTGTTCCTCGTTTGTTAAATAAGCTCGAAGAGGTGTGTGTACGAGGTGTAGCATTAACACTATTTACAAGTTATCTTAGTAACCGTAGTCAGAGAGTCAAGCTTGGTGATTTTCTCAGTAATGAGCTTCCAGTTACCTATTGTGTGCCTCAGGGAAGCATTTTAAGTCCAACGCTGTTTCTCATTTTTATTATGATCTGTGTGAGATCAGGCTATCCCGAGGGAGGATCGTTACCTTTGCTGATGATACAGCTCTCGTTTTCACTGGAGATTCATGGGTAGAAGCCTTTGACCTTGCGCAAAAGGAGTTTAACATTGTTAATAAATTGATGGTTGATAACATACTTACCCTCAATATTTCTTAAACAAAATTCATGGCCTTTGCCTTTTATTCGTTCTAATATTAAATTCTATTTATTATGCTTTAAGTCAATCCATAATCAGCTATTGCATCACAGTGTGGGGTGGTGCAGCTAAACTCACCTGGGTGAAGCTTAGAAAGCTCAAAGAGCAATCCTTAAAACTGTTCTACGCTCACGCTTTCTACAGACTAGTATTTCTAATTCTAATTCTGTCTGTAATATTGAAATAACTGGCTTTTATCAAGCTCAGGGGTTTATTTGAATGCTATAAAGGCATAAATATTTTTTTTTTAATTTTTTCTGTCTATTTGGGCTAATCTTCGAATTGGGTGATTTATTTTTCAAAATAAATATTTCCGAGTTCTTCGAGTAAAATAAAGCCTAGATTACTCCTGCCATTGCTTTTTATCTGTTTGTGAAGTTTCATTACTATCGGCCCAGTCATTTTCAAAATTAATCTGAACAGACAAGCATACAGACAAAAAATGTAAAAATGGTTATTCATATATTTTTTTATAGGATAGGGTGACAAACGAGCACACAGTCCACCTGATGGTAAGTGGTTGCTGTGGCCCACAGACATCTGCATTTATCCTCAATAAAGAATCAAAATGCAGATGCGTTGTCACCCCTGAGGACTAAGATGGAATGCCCAATTTCCAGTAAAAAGGATCTCCGGTTCTCTACACTCACCAAACAAAACACATCAGTGTTAAGCTGCTATTTTACGCTGGTATTCTTTGAGAGCGTGGTCGTTCCCCGGTCGAGCCGACCCATTCGTGCTACAACTATACTACTAATATCTATATATAGCTGCACCACTTATAAAAATGTCTTAATGGCATGCAAATAACTCCCACAACCTATTTCTATATGACGGACAGACATCATCCATACATTACAGCCTATAAAATTCCACTGCTGAACTTAGGCCTCTCCCATAGATTGCCTCATATTTGCCATGTTTGGCAGATGGGTGAACAACCTCCGTTTTTTTATACAAGATAGAAGAAGGAAAATATTGCTGCTTAGTTAAATTACCCTCGTCGCCTCTTACGGCCCCCACGGGACGATATGGAATGTGGATGTTTTTACAACTTCACTACACGGCACGGTGCAGGGGAAACGTGCTTGGTCCATATGGGTATGCAAACACACATTTAAACAAAAAATGTGTGCTATGATAACGAGGTGGAAGGAACCGTCCTAGCATAAGCTGTGAACTGATTTTCAGTCGGACCCGGATAATTTCGGAATATCCGTACTCTGCGTTTGTGTGGTTTTTCACTGCTGGCTGTATGAGAAAGCTGAAGGTCGCTCAGCGAGCTATGGAGATAAACTTAGAAATGAGGATATCCGCAGTAGAACCAGAGTGACCGACATAGCCCAAACGATTAGTAAGCTGAAGTGGCAATGGGCTGGCTATATAGTAGTAGTAGTAGAAACGGACAACTGATAGGGAAGAAAGGTTTCGGTATCGGTAGGCGAAATGTAGGGTGGCCCCCCACTAGATTGTGTGGCAAGCTGGTAAGACATGCAGGAAATGGATGGACGCAGGTGGCTGAGAATCGTGCTTTGTGGCATTCCCTGGGGAAGGCCTGTGTTCAGCGGTGGACTTGTGAAGGGTTTTAATGATGATGATGAAGCTTTCTGTCCTTTTGTGGCGGTGCTGTTATTGCGCCACAAGCGAAACTCGCCGATGCCTAAATCGCGCTATCAAAGTTCCAAAGTAAAAGCAGTATACATATATAGAGTAGCTCTGAACTACCACTCGGAGAGTTGGCTGCTCCCCGGGCAGAATACCTTGCCCGGCGGAAGATCTCTGCTTTTCCTTCAACCGGCCACAGTGGTGATCTCCAGACGTGATATGAACACGCAACCAACAACCTTCGGAAAACTACAACTTCAAACCTTCGTCATTATCCTCAAGAACCCCTACCATTCACTCCCATTTCCAAAGTATAGTCTTCTACAGTCTTCAGCTCCTGTAAGGCAGTCTAACTTATCTTCATCTCGACTTTCGAAGTACTGCGCTATGTACAGGGTTATTTTTCAATGGGTAGCCAAATTTTAAACTCATAATTTATTAGTGATCGAAGATTAAATTTTATAAATAATGATATACCGTTTACTGCAGTTTTTGAAAATACGAGTAAATAAGGCTTCTACTTTTATTTGAAATTATCTAAAATTGAATGTTATTTATGGGCAACAACTACGCGTAAGCGTGTAATGCATTGCCACGCATTTTGAATTTGAAAGATTTGAAGGACGAAATGTTTAAGATTTTTATTAACTATTTTGTTTTGCACCATTTGCATATATTACTTATTCTGAGCCTTCTCTGCAAATTTGGCCGGTTATTACAAAATAACTCAGAGCTTTTCTCTGTACAAACACATGTAGCGATTCTCCCCTTTTTCCTTCCACGTCCAAATTGGTGAACCTGACGTGACAGATATCGGTATTAACCCATGTTTGTGTGTGAGTAACTGTGGGTGTGGTGGTGGTGCAGGAGCGGTGGTGCAGCCGCTGCCGACGGCGCACCTGATCTTCCGCGCGCCCTCGCAGGCCGCCGGACACTGCTGGCTGGACGGCCTGGAGCTGGCCCTGAGATGCAGCAACGCTATGCTCAGGTACACCCTCCTCTACATCTTCCCTTTTATAGTACCAGTGACCAAGCACCACAACAAGCACAAACTAGGTAGTACGACTTTGTTCTATCTAGGAGTTCATCTGGGTAAGTCTGCGTAAACTTTGCAACAATAAACGTTCTTATTTGTCGTGTAGCAGCGGTGCAGTTGTGGTTTTAGCACGTATAGGTCGGCTCGACCGGGTAACGACCATGGTCTCACAGAATACCATCGTAAACTAGCAGCTTAATGCTGCTGTGTTTCGTATGGTGAGTGTAGAGAACCAAAATCAAAATGCAGATATGTACGTTGTCACCTATGAGGAATAAGATGGAATGCCTCATTCCAGTAAAAATGGTCTCCGATCCTCATAGATAGTAGCTTAATGCAGCTGTGTTCCGTAAGATAGGTGTAGAGAACCGGAGATCCGTATTACTAGAAACGGGTCATTCCATCTAAGTCCTCACGGGTGACAACGCATCTGCATTTTGATTCGCAAACGAGGATAGATGTAGATGTCTATAGATCACAGCATCCACTCACCATCGGGTGGACTGTGTGCTCGTTTATTACCATTATTCTATTAAAAGAAACTACGGTTGTAACCAGTTTGTCAAGCGTGGCCAATTATAGCAAATATCAAGGCATTTTATGGGTGGGACACGTTAGTTGACTTTGACAGGACTTTGCAACAGTTCACGTTTTCAAGTTGGTAGTGCTGTGGTGGGGCGTTTGACAATTATAGGTTGAGACGTGTGGATTTGATTCGCGCGTGGAACATGTTATACCAAATCTAGGTGTTTGACCGTGTGCAGTTTATGTAACGAGAACACTTACACGTAGAGATTAAGTGGTTACTGCTGCGCATGAACATCTGCAACCTACTTTATATAAAGAAGACTATTGATGCGTTGTCACCTGTGAGGACGAAGATAGAATGCCTGACACAAATCATGTAATAATATATATTCTATCCATCCACTGCCTATCAAAGTCCACTGCAGCCAATCAAAATCCATTGCTGAACGTAGGCCTCTTCGTTAGATTATCTCATAGAGGGGATATTTGCCACAGTTACCAACCACAGTTTTTTTTATTTCTAGCTGTTAAAGTCGCTGCTGTCCATCAGTTTTTTTTCCACTGTCGCTGTTACGGCACCCACTGGATGATATGGGGTAGTGAATTTTTTTACGCCGTCTCTACACGGTGGGATCAGCAGCCTAGAGGAAAGCCAGCCAGCCAGCTGAGCTGGTTTTCTTTAGAGTTTTTGACAGTGGTAGAGCCACGCGGCAGCTTTTGCTGTCGCACGAATGGGCCGGCTCGAACCGGGGTGGTACCACGACCTCACAGAAAACCAGCGTGAAGTAGAGGTTTACCTCTGCGTTTCGCTTGGTGAGTGCAGGTGACCGGAGGCCCTTTTTACTGGAAATGAGGCATTCCATCTTAGTCCTCATGGGTGACAACGCATCTACATTTTGATTTGTAATAGAGGATAGATGTAGATGTCTATGGGCCGCAGCAACCACTTACCATCAGGTTAACTGTGTGCTTGTTTGTCACCCTTATCCTATAAAAAAAAGAGTATAAGAGTGACAAACGAGTCCACAGACATCAACACCTATCCCTGATTGAGAATCAAAATGCAGATATGTTGTCACCCTTGAGGACTAAGGTAGAATGCCTCGTTTCCATTGAAAGGGGTCTCCGGTTGTCTACACTCTTTGGCTGCAGCTTGGCTTTACTGCGTAATAATAAACTGCATTTTAGTGCATTGTTTTACCGAATTCTATTTATTTTATTCTTAAGTTAAAAGTTTTTACAATAGTTTAGAAGCTAGGGTTCCATTTATTTGTTAAAATGTTTGTGGTGTATAAAGAATTTATTTATTTATTATTATTATTAATACATGTGCTTGCGATCAGTTTTGGAACAAGATTGTATTGAGTATTGTTTCGAATGTAGACGCATAAACCTCTGTGCTGCCAGTTTATTTCGATGCACATAAACTCAACAATTTCACTAAAATATTGTGATGTCACGGTGTTTTTGTATGTAAATATTATATTGTAATTAGTGACTAAATATTTTAGTTTTGTTTAGATGTTCCCGGTCCAGGCCAGAGCAGACCGTGGAGCCTGAAGCACCGGCCACTCAGACCATCTCACACGAAGAGTTGGAGAAACATTTCAATGAGCACGGTAAGAATTTAATTTTACTTTAATAATGAGTAAGCTTGTGTAACTTGTGACAATCTAATGCAAACTGTTGAAAAATCGGTTGAATAATTGGTAACCAAATTTCTACTAAATCGGTAAGAAAAAATCTGGCAATCTATTAATAAAATAATTCTTTCATATTCGTTCGTTTAGGAAAACGAAAAAGAAGGATCTTTCTTCCTTTATGGTGGTTACGATGAATTCGCCGATGACAAATTTTCATTTAGCATTATAATATACTTAAAACTTTTGACACTTGACAGATTTACCTTGACAAATAAGTGTTGCTAGGAAATAAAAATAGTTTCTTGAATAACCGCAATATAGTAGAAGTTTTTATTTTTCTGATAGGACTATACTACTAGAAATGTTTTAATATATAGTGTTAAAATTAAGAGTTACTTGATCCTGGGGCTCACAAATTTTCTAACAATGAAAATGGTTTTTATAGCTGTCATACGGCTAAAATTGTACCTCATCATTCCGGTTCGCATGCACAAAGAAAATAATGGACGATATTTATCATAACATTGTCTTTTTTAAAGTATGATTACATACTAAAAGATATCTAAGTAAACATACAGACAGGCATACCAATTAAAATTTTTATGGGTGATTTTCTATGACATTATTTTCTTGGCTAGTGGAAAATTTTGAGTCGTCAAGTTAAAAACATGTTTGTGTGAAGTTGGAAGAGTTGAGTATAGTTTAACTAAGATAAAATAGTTTTCTCGAGAGAAATACTTTAAGCACAGACCTAAGACCTACCTCTTTAATATCTGAGTAAACATCAACATTGTCCAAACATCTTTCGTTTTCCGATTTGAAGGCATCTTAATCCGCATTTGACAAAGATGTGTTCCCTTGTCGCCTTCTCGCTTTAAAGTCAGTTGCAGCTGTCCATGGACTGCAATAGTTCTCAGGTTGACCGTTGCTCGTTAGTCACTCAATTAGAGTTTCAGGGTGGTCCGTACTGAGTGGGTTTATTGGCACTCACTTTACTTAATAAAAGAGATGATATTTCCGTCACATAATTCTTAGTGCTTAAACGTCTGCTCAGATATTGTTGCGCGCCACTATTAATGTCTTGTACATGGCAACACTAGTTGCAGAACTAGGAGAGTCGAGATCCTTCCAGAAATTTCGGGACCGATATGTACTCGAACATTCTAGATGTCGCTACAGTAGAAGGTTCTGGAAACTATCTGAGGCTCTATATAAGGCCGGTATAGACCACGACCAGGGCAGTATTGAATTGGCGATACAAGAGAATACTTCGAAGCGAAACAACTGCGAACTTAAGTGATCAGTAGAATTATTGTGTTTTATTATTAGTCTGTTTTAAGGTGTAATTAGTATCTGTAATTAAAGTGTCAAAGAGCAATGGCAGAAAAATAGTTGACAATAATTATAGCGTCTAGAAATAAGTTATATATAAAATGAGTTTTAATATATTTCTATGATTTTTCAAATAAAAATGTATTTTAATTAAAGCCACAGAAAAAAACAAACATATTTGGGAATATCAAATGACTTAAAATCATTTTAATCTATTCAAATGTTGCCATTTAGTATTTTCATACTATTTTCGTATATACTTTGTAAGACTACCAATACAACACACAAAATATTTTTATATTAAGTTATTATTATTAATAACTGTACTATCAGTAATAATAAAAATAAAAGTGATATGGCAGAGAATAAGTCTCTTACAAAGAATTTCCTACAATAATGCATTATCTCAATCATAGTACTATGTAACAATTCCATTTAATGTTATGCCAACACTAGTTAAAATAAAATGTCACTGTTTTTTTTTACTGGCTTTACGGCTCTGGGTTCTAGCCCTTCTGAGAATGTCACTATGACACAAAAGCCCTGGAGCCATGCCAGAAATATACATTTATAGTATACAAATATATAATAGAGATACAATAATCTAAAACCTCTCAATTATGTATTATGTATTAAGCTCACATCAAACAACCACAGGAAGCATGACTTTTTCCAAGTGACATAGGATATAACCTAAAAAGGTTCAAATGTAAATATCTTTTTTTTGACGCCTTCCCAGTACGAAATTCTTTGACAGATTTATTAAGGGACTGACGCTTAACATTTTAAGATATTTTTGGTATAGACGCTACCATTTCTTCTGAACTAATTTTATGTATGAAAGTCTGCCATTGCTCTTTGGTAATTCAATCGGCAGTTTTTAATTGTCTCGAATCTCAAGCTCGTAACAATATGTTTAATTTGTATGAATGCATTGAGATAATGATTTTCGTAGGGGTTTTTACTAAAAATATTTTTTTAATGTGATTCAATGTTGACTACAAGGCCTTTAACCAAAAAGATTATTTAAACGCTGTAAAAGTTTCTGACATATATAAACATGTAAAAAAAAATCATTACAATAATTATGTTCACATTGTGATGATTTTGGGAAATTTAACAGGCAACTTTAATCAGGAGATAGTCGATAACGATAGTATCCCAAGCTCACAAGGGGCCTAAGCGGAGTTAAAAACTTGAGTAAACCTCTATCACCATTATGGCACGTGTTTCATTGTTTGCACTGGTAGTTCACATGTGTAGACATTTAACATACAAGATCGCATCACATTTGCATATGAAAATTTCATATTTAATAAAGAAAGTTTTATTTTGCAAAGCAACTAGTCCCCCCCCCCCCCCCCCAAACACACTCTCATATATACATACAACAATACCCCACACTTACATTCCTACAGTCTTTAATATACACGTACAAATTACAATTTTTCTAGAGGTTTAGAATATACCTTTTTTTTGATAGAATAAGGATGACAAACGAGCACACAGTCCACCTGATGGTAAGTGGTTGCTACGGCCCATAGACATCTACATCTATCCTTTATTACAAATCAAAATGCAGATGCGTTGTCACCCGTGAGGACTAAGATGGAATGCCTCATTTCCAGTAAAAAGGGCCTCCGGCCACCTGCACTCACCAAGCGAAACGCAGAGGTAAACCTCTACTTCACGCTGGTATTCTGTGAGGTCGTGGTACCACCCCGGTTCGAGCCGGCCCATCCGTGCGACAGCAAAAGCCGCCACGTGGCTCTACCACTGTTACTGTTGTAATGTTACTGTTATCCTTAAGGGAAGTGGCGGGTCATTCCCAATACGAGCATCCTCTGAATTACTCACTGGGAAGTTTCAGCGATATGTTGTAAACAAGATTACCGAAATAAATGTGTTATTAATTTATTTATTTCGAATTATTTAAGGTGGCACAAGTCGCGGGCTCGAACTCGCTGGTGGGCGCGGCCAAAAAGCACGCTGTCTCACCTGGCATCGTGCCCGACAGAGATAGTATCAGTGATGAGCATATCGACACTAGTATTCACGCATGTCTTGTTCGTACGGTGTTCCGAACCGTTAGAATAAAAACGAAGTTACACGAACACGATGCAACATCTATACTAATATAATAAAGCAGAAGAGGGTTTTTGTTTGTTTAAACGTGCTAATCTCTGGAACTACCAGTCCGATTTGAAAAATCTTTTTTTGGATATTATAGCCAGATTAATGTTGAATAGTATAGGCTATACAGCATTAGGCTATATATCTCAGCTAGCCTATATTTGTTAAGGAAGTCAGAAGAAAAAGCGCTGTTATGGTTCGGGATACGTAAATACAATGTTCTAGAAAAATATAGATCTTTACTCCGTCTAAAAAAAGTCCGCGATACCATATGTCTATTTCTTATATATAAGCCACAATTAGGCATTTTGTGACAAAAAAAAATGAAAATTTAATTATTAGGCACCTTACGAACCAAAGTTACTTCATTATCAAGACAATTTTATGAAGATAAACTTTGTTTTTTATACCATGTTTATATAGTACATAGTTTAAGAGATAATGTAAAATTTAAATAATTCAATACCTACTTGGCTTGACGCGCAAACAACGCATAACCCCTAGCCCGGTGCGAACTGAGAAGCCAGTATTGAAAGCTTCTATGAGCGAGGTTAGGTTAGCCGTTAGTTCAATCGTTATCTATATATACACAAATAAATAAAATTGAAGTGTCTGTTTGTAATGTCAAAATAACAGCTTTTTACTAATTGCGTATGAAACTGTAAGTATACGGTACTTATAACATTAACACAATTTTTAACATTTTTGTATGTCTGTCAGTCTGTTTGTTGCGGTTAATTTCCAAAACGGCTGGACCTACTTGGGCGGGACTTTCACTAGTAGATAGCTCATGTTATAAGAAGTAACTTAGCCTGCTTAAATTTTTGAAAAATTATTAGGTGTCTTTGCAACAATATTAACGCCCTAAACTAAACGCGGACGAAGTCGCGGGGTACAGCTAGTAGCTAAAATAAATTCAAAATTAATTGAGTACTTTTATCTATCTCCCGGGTGAGCGTAGCAATGATTAGTTACATCTTTATTTCTGAACTCTTTCATTTCACGTTGCTATGGTATTTTGAAAGTTTAAATTTAATTAATTAATAAGTATAAGAGGTTGATAGCAAATTTATCAAGAATCATTTCTTGCCTACACACTTTTCATGAATCGTGTACGTTTTTCTTTAAAACTGAAAAAAACCGCGCATAATATGCCGACAGATAAAATAAAAGTACTCCATTAATCATGACAATTTTTCCATACATTACAATCAAATAAAATATTTGATTGCAATTATAAAATGCTTGAACTAGGTGTCATGTCATGCCACGCATCTCGGACACGTGATGACGCGGGTGAATCCACGAAATTATTAGGTATACGTGTGTGGCTCTATATACCTAATATAGATTGCTTATTTTATTATGTTTAGTTTTCCCCGAGTGGTCATGCAGCAATCACTCAAGAGTTCGGCTTCGAACGTGTGTAACTCGATAATTATCCCACGGCAACGAAATATCTGAATAAACGGTATCATATATGATATTTGGCAGCTCCGTGGCGCAGTGGC